CTCATACCTGGTTTGGATCAGTATCATCAACTTTTTCTGTCTACTTATGGAAGTCAGCAACCTTTGCCCATGCAGCAGCATTTTTTACTCAATTTTGTATTCAGCTCAAGTTCTAAAGATCTCTGAACTTGATGAGAATCCTGCATTCTTTTCATATTCCTTCTATCTCTTAGGATCACAACTCTTTTAGATATTTAAATGACTTAAGTTTGAATTCTGGATATGTGTCATGTTTTAGTTTGACTATGTGATTTCAACTTCTTGTGCTTAGCAGACAACGTACTGTGTCTATCTCAAACTCTCTAATTTATTTATAAGTACAATAGCTCATGGTGAATATTTTAGTCCAAAGCTAAATCAGTCAATTTATGAGGGAACCAAATGAATGACTCTTAATAAAAAAGAATAGAAGAAAACTGCTGGAAGCAATAAGGCATCCTACTAGCACATGCATGTTCTGACACCATTATGAACCATTTAAATTTGATAAATTAAAATTTATCTAATTTAATCATAATATATAATTTCTAGTGGGTCCTACAGATATTTTTGCATATTTATGCATAATATTCTTAATTTTGCCTCATTTTTAAGTTGAAAGATTTAAGTGTTTATGAGCAAATTATCTGTGAAATACCATATCTATTTAGAGGGATAAGAACTAGGAAGTCAGAATGTTGAATCTGGTTTAATAAGAGATCCGTAAATATTAGGTGTTTAGATCTTCCAAGCATAGATAACAATATGCTGCATATTTACTAGACATTTCATAGAAATAAGTACACACCTGTACCCTTCTTTCTTCCATTGATACATCTGTAGAGTATAATATTTTTATAATATTACATTAAATACTTTTTTTAATGAATGCTACAAACGCTCAGAGAAATTTGTCGAATAGATTGCCTATTAACATCTGGATATTAATAAATTAAGTCAAATGTTTAGACAATTTACATCCTAATTTTCTGAACTTTCATAAGTTGTTAAATATTTCCCATAATTACACTGGCAACATTCATTACAACTTAGAGCTTCCAGATAGGAAATAGTTAATCATAGGTTCTTACAGACCCCACTTTTTTTTGTTGAAATTTTCTATACTTTTTGTTTCTTATTTTTTAAAATTTTTTATTGATACATAATAGAAATATTTTAGGGCATATGTGATAATTTAGTACATTGATGTAATTTGTGAAGATAGCCATTACCTTAAATTTGTGTCTTTTCTTTATACTAGAAACATTTGAAATATTCTCTTCTAGTTATTTTGAAATATACACTAGATTATCATGAACTATAGTCTATTTCTCTATCAAGCACTAGGTCTTATTTTTTCTATCAAACTCTGTATCCATTAATCAATTTCTCTTCATATGGCTCTAACAATTATTAAATGAAGTTATCATTGCTTGTCACTTTCAGACTTAAAAGATCTCATCATATTAATAAATTTAAATAATTGGAGACTAAAGGGATAAATCACTTATCCATCTTTCCCTGGGAATTGTAACCAATGGAGAAAGACAGAGAAAGTAAATGTAGGTCTTAACTTTACCAGAGGATATAATGTAAGTCCCAAATTAATTTTACCAGAGGATATAATGTAATTCCCAAATTCTCACTACTCAAGCCAGACCTTCCCCTGTCTCTCCAGTAGATGGGAATTCTGCCTGGAGACAGAGGCAAGAAAGAGCATGGGGCCCTCTGACATCCCCTGCAGTGGGCATCAGAGGGTAGGTCAGTCCTATCTTCCACATGGAGGCAAAGTCAACCCACTCTTTGTGTGAGACCTAACCAGTACCTGTCAGACTTTTCAGAACCTTCCTTTAGGTTCATGGAGACAGGTAGAAACCCTCCCAGTTTCCTAAAAGGAAACACAGTAACAGAAAGCAATCATTCTTCCTTCCCTGTAACTACCTTCTCCAATATGTAATATTTGTACATAGAAATACCTAAAAGTGTGGATGTCAGTGAACACATTTTCTTCATATCAAAATTACTTATAATAGCTAACAAAGAATGATACAAGATATTTTTTCAGGCATGAACTTTTTAGTTTATCTTTTTGACATATGCAATATTTAGCTTTTAAATATATGATTGAGTATAAAGACAGGATTACATACGGTAAATTACTTTAAAAATTGTTAAATGTCTTATTTTTTCTTTTTATTATCTATTTTTTATTGTACTTATTTAAGGTACACAGTGCGATGTTTTGGTACACACATAGAGAGTGAAATAAGGAAAAAGAAAGGTCTTGAATATGTTTAATTTTTTCAGAAGTAATCTAGATTTGCTTTCTCCATGATATGGAAAAGGCCCGAACTGAGCAAGTCCCAGGCCAATACAACATAGATCTTCCTGGCTCTGTTGCTAGGGCTACTCCAGTGTATCTAAGTCACAGGAAGTTAAAGATGAAAGGAACCCTGGAGATGACCTCATTCAATCTCATTTTACAGATGAGCTAAATGGGAGACAGAGATCATAATTGACCTGGCCTCAGTTGCAGATGACCTTAGCAGTGCAACTGGGGTTAGAGAAGAGGATCCTTGATTAGTCACTGATCCCAATCAGCACTGTGTGTGGACGCTGTGCTGATATCTTAGCATAAGATTATAGGAAAGTGTTTTTAGCAGTTATAGATCTGAGTGCACACTCTAGTTCAATGTGTGCGGAATGTGTGCATGTACTTTTTCCCAAGTAACTACAATTTGTTAAGAACATTTAGGGGACATAATTTGTTGATGCTATTCCATCTGAAATTCTTTTATAAATTAATTATAGTGTTTTGTATTGTGTTGAACTGCAATCAATATTTTGAGAATCAACATTTTGTTAGTATTTGGTCAAAAGAAGAAATATTTGATAAATCAACTTTCAATGGAATGAAATGTTTTTTTAAAGTTCATTTCAGCCCCAGAATACTATCATTTTTTATATGAACTTTGTGAGTCAGTTTATTTTATAGAATCCTAGATCAATTTATGTAAGATGACTTTGTTTTTCCTAATTTAAAACAATTTCTCAGTAACTAACAAATGTCTTTTGAAAGTAGGCCTCCTGAAGTAAGAGGTTCTCTTAAAGAGTTCATCTTTTTTTAAAAATTTTATTTTAAAGTCACTAAATCAGTTTCTTTCAATTAAATATGTTGTTATATTAAATAAATCTATGCAATCCATTATCCTTGAGGAAAATGAATCAGTGATATGGTCAAGAATTCCCATGAGTTTGCTTGAAAGCTTGTAACTTACGGAGAATGCATAGCTACTAATCCTCACCTAGCTGAACACAATCTGATGGAGGAAAAGCAGAACAGCAAAGATTAGCAGGACATTTATATAACTCCTTATATTATCTCCATGTAAATATGAATGATTATAAAACGGTTGCTTCCTTCTTCATACAAGGTCTCAATTACCACTCTCTAGCCACAATTCAAACACTATTTTTTCCAGTTAGAATAATATATAAATATTATAAATAATTTAGGAAATCAGATTGTGACATTGAACTATGATACCAATTTTAAAATAATTATGTTCAACAGTTAAATACATCATTAAATATATTACCACTAGGGAAAATTTTTTTTTAAAACTTCTTTTTCTATACTGTGTATAAGAATTATAAATATTCTCTGTTTTGTGTTTTTGTACCTTACGAATTGCCGGAAAATAGATTACCATTTTAGAGCTGATTTATTACTGGCAGGTCCACAAATGCTTGACTTGATTTCCTCTTGCAGCTATGGAAATAAGTATGCCAATCCATATGGTAACTAATATAATTAATGTACGTTAAATCCATGGCTCATTCAAATTTTGTCCTATGATGTTTTTCAATTGAAGAAAATTTGTCATACATCACTAACATCCTTATTAACTTAGCTTCCTCTATAAAGGAAAGCAACAGTTGCTATTTTCTTATTTCATTTAATTGAACCATAAAGTACCGTGTATTTATAACACTGTGTAGCAGTGTTACTTTTATTAGTTTGTTTCCAGTTTATACCAACAAAAATGTAAATTCTCATAGTATTATTGTTATTACCACTAATGATTCAAATTACATTACATATGTTGACTCTATGGGATTTTTTTATACCATAATAGAGTATAACCATATCAGTTGCAATGTAAAATTAGACATAGTTTATTCTGGTAAAATCAATTTGAATAAATTGGATCATATTTGTTTCTTGAAATATGTTAACAACATGGCTCCTGATGGCTGTGAAAATTATCTCTAGGAAAACCAATAGACTTAGTTGGATTCAAATTTCAGTAGTCAGGATGAATGGTCCCCAAGTTATAATTATAGTATTTTTGTTAACCTTTTCTTTACTAAAACTAACATATCAGTGTTGGATATAGATGACACTGAGAGGCAATAATTTTTTGTAATATAACCATATAGTATTATAGAACTTTGAATAATTTGGTCTAAATTTGCTTTCTTTTAGTTATAGTAGTTTCAGGAACCAGAATTAAAAGAACTCTAGGAAGCCTGGAGCAGTGGCTCACGCCTGTAATCTCAGCACTTTGAGAGGCCGAAGTGGGTGGATCACTTGAGGTCAGGAGTTCCAGACTAGCCTGGCTAACTTGGTGAAACCCCACCTCTACTAAAAATTACAAAAATTAACCGAGTGTGGTAGCGCACACCTGCAATCCCAGCAATTTGGGAGGCTGAGGTAGGCAGATATCTTGAAGCCAGGAGTTTGAGACCAGCCTGGCCAACATGGTGAAACCCCATCTCTACTAAAAATACAAAAATTAGCTGGGCGTGGTGGCACGAGCCTGTAATCCCAGCTACTCAGGAGGCTGAGGCAGGAGAATTGCTTGAGCCCCGGAGGCGGAAGTTGCAGTGAGCTGAGATTGCACCACTGCACTCCAGCCTGGGGAAAAAAAATCTAGGAAATGGTAACACTGTTTCTTTCGTTTTACTTTTTGTTTATTAGCAAATCCAGTAACGCTGAAAATTTTTTGCCCCTACAGGTTTGGGATGAAAATCTCGCAAAATCGGCAGAGGCATGGGCGGCTACTTGCATTTGGGACCATGGACCTTCTTACTTATTGAGATTTTTGGGCCAAAATCTATCTGTACGCACTGGAAGGTAGGAAGTAGTTTCACTGATACAGTTCACACATATGGCTTTATTAATTATGAACTCAAGGAGAGAATTACATCGGTTTCAAGTAATATCAAGTACTTATTGAATACTCACTATGTGTCAAGTACTAATGCTTGACACATATGAATATTTTAGATTGCTTTCAGAATTATTTAATTAGGTAAAAGGGCCAGTTCTGCTTTTCACCCTTGGAACAGCCTCTCTTAGCATTTTTTTTTTTTTTTTTTTTTGATTTCACAGTATCTTAGAAAGGGTCAAGCCTGTGCTGCATCCTGCCCTCTCCATCTCAGGAAAAAGCTCCATGACTGTGCAGAGACTGTGTGTGTGTGTGTGCGTGCATATGCATGTGTATGCAACTTTCCCCATAGCTGCATATGCTTGCATATGCATAAATATATAAGTAAAAATGTATGTATTTACATATATATATTTATACACACATATATATGCAGGTATATGCAGCTATGAGAAAAGCTATTCCCATTGTTAGGATAATTTTTCTCCCACTGTCTAATGTCATTATCCAACACTCCAAAGACCCATCTCCCCCAAATAGGGAAAGAAAATCAAGTGTGCTATTATTAAAATTAAGGGAATTCAGGTCAGGTGCAGTGGCTCACACCTGTAATCCCAGCACTTTGGGAGGCTGAGGCGTGTGGATCACGATGTCAGGAGTTCAAGACCAGCCTGCCTAACATGGTGAAACCCCGTCTCTACTAAAAATACAAAAATTAGCAGGGTATGACGATGGACACCTGTAATCCCAGCTATTCAGGAGGCTGAGGCAGAGAATTTCTTGAACCCAGGAGGCAGGGGTTACAGTGAGCCAAGATCATGCCACTGCACTCCAGCCTGGGTGACAGAGCGAGATTCCATCTCAAATTTAAAAAAAAAAAAAAAAAAAAAAAAAAAAAAAAGAAAAAAAAATTAAAAGAATTCAGACTGCAGAGTGAAAGGAAAAAACGCACTAAGTTCTAATATTGTGACTATTTTGGTAGATCTAATTCTGGATTATTTATAAAATTCTGAAGGAGGAAATTTTTGACTTGGATTAAATAAGAAATTGATGATTCCTGAAAATATTTGCATTTTCTTTGTGGAATGGCCAGACACATGTTTAGATAAATATAGAGTCACTTGCTCCAGCCCTGGGCATTTCCATGCTTGGCTGTACTTGGAAGAATAGAGGACCCGACTAGATGGAGATCACGATTGTGAGGGGTGGATATGCTTGTGGGTCACCGTGAATAATCTGCAAAAAGAACCATTTCCAGTGTAACATGAGTCTCTTATATATTACCACTGCTGTACTCTAATGTCTTTCTTTTCTTGATATGCAGATATCGCTCTATTCTCCAGTTGGTCAAGCCATGGTATGATGAAGTGAAAGATTACGCTTTTCCATATCCCCAGGATTGCAACCCCAGATGTCCTATGAGATGTTTTGGTCCCATGTGCACACATTATACGCAGGTTATTTCAATTACCTTGTTAATTTTTTATTCGTACTTTTAAAGTATTTGCTAATACTATTTTGGTGGACATGCATTGTCTTAGCTCTGACTTCTGTAACAGTATATTGGTTTATTTTCACAGATGGTTTGGGCCACTTCCAATCGGATAGGATGTGCAATTCATACTTGCCAAAATATGAATGTTTGGGGTTCTGTCTGGCGACGTGCAGTTTACTTGGTATGCAACTATGCCCCAAAGTAAGTACCACGTTGGATTCTATTTCCTGGATTCTTTAAAGATGTTAAATAACCCCAAGCTGATATGTATCTGTGACAGGTAAGTGAGTAAGACTTAGCTAGAATAGCCTCTAATCCTCAAATCCACCATCCTTCCAGTATTTCTGAAAAACAATTAGCTGAAAGGTTTCTTTTCACAAAGACAGGGATTCTAGTCTAAAATTGTAGGCAAAACAATTTGAAATGCTGGGACTCACTAAATTCTCCTTACCATATGTTTCTGTTATGACAATTGCAAAATAAACACGGTACCACACAAACTTTTAATAGCTATATAAAATAAATCAAGAAAAAATCTTCCATGATGTTTTCATCTATCAGTACAAAAATGTTGGCTTACCTTTTTAGCAAAGCATTGAAAGTGAATTCATTCTTCCTTCTCTTATTTTTTAGATAAAAAAATCCACAATTTCATCCTAGGGCATACAAAAATGTATTATGGAAATTTGTCAAACATTATAAGATATGGTCATATTTGTGAACATTCTTTATGAGGATAAACATTTATCAACATTTGGTAACATGCCTCTTGATTACAATAACTCTTCAGATGATAAAATGTTTCAATATTTATACACAATTCTGTTCCCATTTGGAATAAATACCAAAATGTGCAAAGGATTTATGACACTCTTGGTGTCTTCCAAAGTAAGTCTCAAACAAAGAATTTCTCCAGCTATTCCAGCATGGGGAGGGAATGAGAAAATGCTTCACAAATAACTGCATTACTCATTTATATGGTAGTATGCCAATGGCAGTGTTTTTACAAAGTTAGAAAAATAGTGATTCTCCCTGTGTTCTCCTCTTCATAATTATTAGAATGGGAAGATTTGGAAAGTAGACTGTGTCTGCATTATTATAAAAAAGCATTAAAATTGTACATTTGTATAAAATTTTTAGTTTCACACATTGCATTTTTCTATGAAGACTTTACCCTTTCTCCCTGACACAAACAGGCCAAGCAGAATACAAATAGTCTAAGAAATTTTTGTTTCATTCATGTAACTATTCATTTTTGGCTAACAGTTATAATTTTCTAATATTATTGATGAGATATATTATTGTTTTATAGGTCCAACATGCTACATTTCAGTGGTAATAAAGAACAATTTTTCTGGAAACTAAGTAATGAAGAAGGTTTTAAAATCCTGATTGGTCGTTGAATATAATTCTTCTAAAGCTAATATAAAATTATGTCAAGTCTAACTGTTATTTCATGGAAAAAAGAGAGAGGAAGAGAGAGAGAAGGAGGAATGAAAACAAGAAAAAAGATAAGTGAGGGAGAGAGAGAGAGAGAGAGAGAGAGAGAGAATTTAATTAGAATAGCACAAAATAAAAGAATGAATAGTATAAGTATATAAATTGACTGATTCACTGTTTTGAATGTAACTATCCTCTATGCAATAAAATCTGAGATTTATGTAAAAGTTTATAATATACGCTATGTAACAATTTTACTTACAATACAATTTTATTTCCAAGTTTCTGTTTCTAAAATTGTGTTCTCCAAAAAATGTGTGGGAAAAAAACCGATGAAAATATGAAATTAATGTTGCATTGGCTTGGTCCATACGCTTTTATAGCTTTGGTATATCCAAAGAGGGAGGGTCAGGTGAGATGGCTCACGCCAGTAATCCCAAGACTTTGGAAGTCCCAGGCAGATGGATCACCTGAGGGCATGAGTTTGAGACCAGCCTGACCAGCATGGTGAAACTTGTTTCTACTAAAAATACAAAATTAGCCAGGTGTGTTGGTGCATCTCTGTAATCCCAGCTACTCGGGAGGCTGAGGCAGAATTGCTTCAGCCCTTGGGATGAAGGTTGCAGTGCACTCCAGCCTGGGCAACAAGAGTAAAACTCTGTCTCAAAACAAACAAACAAAAAAACCATAGAGAGAAATAAGATTATGAACATAGAATGGTACAGGATAGGATAAGAAAGTAAGCTACACTCATAAGATAATGAGCCCCCTTGAGCATTTTTGAGCAAGTCCGTGATGGCATCAAAATTATGCTTGAGGAAGCTTGTCCTTAGAGCATAGTGTAGAATAAATTTAATAGAGGTGGGCAGTCTTAAAATCTCATCTCACTTTGTAATATGAATAATTAGCAAGTTTTTCATTTTATAGCTAGATTTTCCCATATAGATATTTTATAGATTAAAGTCTGAATTTTTAACTGGCTGGTTGATCAAGATATTTTCATATCCTGTAGGTAAACTTTATGAGTTACTGCTCGGTCTTAGTTGGGTCTTAAGGAAGATGAAGACCTTCTGTTTCACATTTTAGCCTCTTACCTCGCTGTCTTATCTGCAACTCTGAATTTTTACCAATGACAACCAAATTTTCTCCTGAAGATTCAATTGCATTCACATTGCTGTTTATATTGCTATTTCTTCATATTTTAGTTACTTACCACGAAACTACTGAAAACACATTTATTAACTTCTCCTGTATAATTAAAATAGCGAAATAACAGTATGACATCATGGCCATTTTGAACTCTGTTACGTGGATATTTGGGGTTATTATTATGATCATGACCATCAACACAGTGAAAGAAAAATACTGACAATACAAAGTAACTCAATTAAAAGGTTCAGTATTATCAACAATCTAATAGCACTAATTTAAAGAAATTAGTAGCTATCAATTTGCATATGAAATAAAACTTTTGGTATCACCTTTAATTGTTCCTGAGAGACATTGTTCTCCTAATATGAGAATAATGGTATATTGGTTTATACCATTTTACCACATAAGAAGTTTTTCTCATTTCATTTTATGAAGATTGAGAATCTAAAATACTTCACAGCTTTAGAAGCAAATGTCATGAACATATGTAAACATATATATGATAAATGTATATGATAAACATGGTATATTGTAAACATATATCATGAGGAACATGATATATTTTGTTTATATGATAACTTCTTACTCATTTCATTATTTTTAAGTCTCCCAGAATATTCTATTTTTTTCTTAATCATCCTTCGATGAGCATTAGTATGAGTTTGAAAGGAGTAAGTTTAAGGGAATATGGCCTGAGTATGTGCTCCAGAAAGCTGCTGTAATAGGAGAGAGATTTGAGTGAAATGAGCCTGATGTCCCACGACTCTGTGTCACCAGGCGTTGTAGGGATTCATTCCTTAACTGTAAATGAACATAGTATCAACAATACCCAGAGAGAATATATTTTAAAAGCAAGATATACAGAATAAGTTACAATTGAAATAAGAAATGATTATAACTTTTAGTGACTTTCTAAAGCAACTTCTTGAACAGATCATCACATGTCAATACATGTGAACACATGGCTTAAGGACAATCTACGTTTAAAAAATGGGTGGGTTGCACTAATGCTGTCTTTTTTGTTTTCCCTTCTAGGGGCAATTGGATTGGGGAAGCACCATATAAAGTAGGGGTACCGTGTTCATCTTGTCCTCCAAGTTATGGGGGCTCTTGTACTGACAATCTGTGTTTTCCAGGAGTTACATCAAACTACCTGTACTGGTTTAAATAAGCTTACTTTTTCCTCCAGGAAATATAATAATTTCTGGGAACATGGGCATACATATATATATATATATATATATATATATATATATTGAATTTTGCACATATTTTGCATATTTTATGATAATCTTGTTTTCCTTTTAGTATTCCTTTGTATAAATTAGTGTTTGTCTAGCATGTTTGTTTAATCATTTGAGATATTTGAAACATCAATTTCTATTTTCTGACCTCTAGCCTAAATTAAAATATTGTATATGTGATGACAACACAATTGATGCATCCAATCCTAAAACTTACATTCCAAAGGAATTATATCATTATGTTCCTAAGGAATAAAATATGTATTTAACCTGTGTGTGTATGTATACATATACATATATATGTGTATGGATTTGTATATGCACACAGACATATAATACGTGATGTAACACATAGATAATAATATGAGTCAGTAGCAAACTTGAGGGAAATTTTTAAAAGACTATTCTCAAGTATATGTAAGGTGATGGGACACCTTTAGCACCCATTTCTCTAATACCCACAAAGTGATAATTTATAAAATAATACTTAGTGATATCTGGAAATAATAATTTAATTAAACAACCTGGAGATAGTTTTTCTTATTAGAGTCCACCAAAGGATAATGCCAACTTGTATCTTATGTAAGTTCTCAAATCATGCCTTTTGCTTAGTCTCATTTTATTGAATCAGTAGTCATGAGTTGAGTGCTTACTACATGCAAGACACTTCGCTAGTTGTGTTCTGATAATGCAGAGATAATTAGACATGGTTTCTGCCCTCAAGAAGCTCACAAAAAAATATTCAGGAAGTAATGCAGACTAGCGATTTTACTGTAACATTATTTTTGAAGGGAGCAGACACAGCAATATTTACCTGTAATTGGAGAAAGCAAAACCCGCAGAAAACTAATGAAGTCCAAGAGAAGTAAAATTTAGAGGACAGATATGAAAAGGGTAATTGCACGTAACTACCAGATGGAGAGCTTCAGAATGGCCTATCCTGAGGCCTGTCAGGAGATGAAGGATTCCAAGAAGAGACGTGGAGGTGCTGACGACGCCTCTGTCTCTTCGTTGTTAGCCCATCATTGGATCAATCTACTTATCATCTTGAGTCTTTGAGTATTGTATGAAAGATCCGTGATGCACACTTCATACAGTCATGACTTTGTTAAAGTAGCCTTCTTCACATGCTTTCTAAGGGCTAGTTATCAACTTTATTTGTTTCTGTAGAAGAAACATGTTCAGTTCTTCATTGAGTTTGACTATGAAAATCCATTCAGAGTCACTATGAAAATTTTGCTCATGTAATTTGGAAGTGTCACATTTTCCTGTTCATGACATCTCTTTCAGAGAGGAGAATACAACATCTTGGTCAAGATATTTAACATATTGCACTTCAAGTACGTGTGTGTGTGTGTGTGTGTGTGTGTGTGTGTGTGTGTGTGATTCAGGTTATGTAATGCTTCCATAGAATTACAGAACAATTTAATATGGTTAGTTTCAGAACAATTAAATATGGTTAGTTCCAGAGTGCAAATAACAGAAGGAAGCTACTTGTTTAAAATTACATACACATTTGTAGTTTTTTAGGTTGGATATTTTGAAAGATGACAGATCATTAAATCCATTCAATGGTAAGGGAATTCACCATCTGAAGGTTGGGTCTGCTTATTAACGAATGACTGGCCCAATTAGCCTTATAAATTGAACATGGAGACAAAATGCTTTGATATCATACTACTTTGCCTTTGTGGGCACTTACATAGATGCTGTTAAATGTTTTTGGAGATTAAAATGGAGAATAGAAGTAATTACATTATTAGGTGTTAATCCTAATTTTCTAATATATCTAGACAATTGGAGGGAAAGCACATTAGTGGGATGCTTGCTTGATTTATCTAGATGGTCTTTCCTTCTTCAATTTTGCTATATTCATTCTACAGAAACAGCAATAAGTACTATGAAACAAGATGGCTACACTAATTTCTGATTTTTTTGATGAATTGCTTCTGTGAGTTCACTTTTCAATTCTAAGGAAGAATAGTAATATTTGCTATATATTTCACAGAGGTTCTAATGAAGGTAAATTTACTAGATTAATAAAAATTTATGAATATTGAAATTATCATTAATATTATAAAACATTTATTTGAGATTAAATTAAATTTTTCATGAGCTCCTCTTTGGCAGAAACTCTGTTTAATTCTTTGTATTATCCCAGCTTCTTAAATGGTGGCTATAACAATAAACGTTTAATAAATGCTCATATAAATGGATTTTTAGAATTAACTAAAAAGTCAAGAATGACAACAATTTACAAAAATCTCATCTCTCCGTGCTTAAGACAAAAATGTTTTAAATATAAAGTTTTAATTGTATCAAAAATCCAGATGAATCATCAAATGTATCAGATTAAAACTAGGGTCTGCACACTTAGGCAACCGTCCTTTCTAAACCATGACAAGAATTACAAGTTTATTTATAATTTAACAAATCAGCTGAAAACATAACGGGTATATTTGTTATTCTAACTCTATTTTTTAAAGTTAATAATATAAAGTGGCCATGTAAAGTATTGTATTTTCCAGGCTAAAGCAAATCAAAGTTTGCTAGTATCAGCACAGCCTGCCACATTTTTCACAGCATGCAACAATGGTGCTAGGATAGCTATTTTTCACTGTAATTGCCAGAAGCAGGAAAGGTCTGGGTATAAGCTATTTCATAAGAGCAGCTTTAAATGGTCAGTATTAAGGTTTTCATATGGAACAGTGTCATTAAAAAAAAAAAGTAATTGGCATGCCTATTCCACAGCATTGATCGTCTCTATGGTGCTGATTTTTTTTTTATATGACGGGTAGAAAAATTGTAATATTTTTGTGGTATAGGTTTGGGGCTTCCATTGTCATAAAAAAGCTGAAAAATTTTAAGTTTGGAATTAAACTGATGGATTTCATGGTAGAATTATCTGTGAGTTGTGTAGGCACAGTCTTAATATTTCTGGTTATGGTAGATAAGTTTGCTCAAGAAATGCAGATGAAGCCATTATTGTTATTGTTGTTTATGCTTTTGTTCAGTCGTCTAAGCATCATCCCTTCTGTGGCCCATCATCCAGCAGAATTGCTTTACAAATTTCATTTGGCAGCCCGATAACATTCATTTGAAAAGTTCATGGAAACATTCATTTGAAAGTTCCATGTAGCTTTAGCACAGAGTTGGCCAAACACTAGGACAAGTTCCGTTTAACATAGAATATTTGAATTGAAACAATATGTATTTTTCTCATAATATGCACTTGTGTGAAACCAACTTATCTACATCATTAAATCTAATATATATTTAAGCCAGTTTAAGTGTTTTGTGTTCACGCTGTGCTTATAAAATACATGCACAGGCTAAACATATGATTTGAATGGGTCTATGAAGGAAAAATAATGCTTAGGCTTTGATGTATGTTCTTCTTGTGTAGCCATAAACTCAGGTTCTGCAGTATCAAAGGATGCAAATCTCTACATAGATGGAAGCCTTTACCTACCAAAGTGTTTAGGAAGAATAAAGTTACATTTGTCTTACTGTCTAACATTACCTTTCCTTTTATGTTTCATAAAAATTTGTCACTATTTGTGTGGGTGAAACATATAATCACATGCTATCATTTGAACATGTGCAAAATAATTTTAAAAATTATGTTATGGTTTAAATTTGACTTATTGGAGGTCAGTCAAAAACTTAGAAGGTTTACCAGTTCACTGATTAATGGTGCTGAAAACACATTACAATTACCACGTATACTTGCTATAACTTTTGAAGTTTCTTAGCAAAGTTTTTTATTCAGTGTGAACTGTCAGTATCTATTCTGGTGCTAAATATATGGTGCTAAATGAATTGTCAGTGTTGATGGCTTTAGTAATGCTCCTTTTATTCATTGTTAAAAGGGTTAGCCATTCAATTCCTATTTCTGAAATATTAATGAAATTCTATGTTAATCTTTACCAAAAATAGGCAAGTTAACTCTGTTGTTTTAATGGAACAGTCCAATGTTATTTAGGTGTTACAGAATTTAAATATATTTCTTTGGGAGTTATCTTTATTATTTTTTTAATCTTTTCCAGCTTGACAATGTCCAAAGTCAAGTATCACCTAAACTGATTAGAGTACGCCTGGAACTAATAATGTTGCAGGCAGTAGCGCCCTCTGGTGGTAATGAAGACAAATTCTTAATTGCTGCTTGACCCACAGCAAAAGCCATTTGTTTCATACAAATTTGTTGTGAAATATTAGAATTTTCATATATTTCCTAAATCTGACAGCATCTAAAATGTTTGATAATATGAACATATGTCTCTAAGAGGAAAAGAGAGTTAATACATTTTGGCACCCACTTTCCCACGTAATGATGTTTTTCGTGATTTTCCAGTTCTGAGGCACTTATTAAAGTGTTTTTTTTTCTTTTCTAAATTAGATATTGCTAAAATATATTTTTAAATTCTGTTAGCTTCATAAATGCAATTAGAATTATAATTGTCTCATTTTCAGAAGTGGTGGTTTATTTTTGTTTAGCTCAGTTCATAAGATAAAAAATATATAGAAAAATAATTTCATATATAAAAGGATTATTTCTCCACCTTTAATTATTGGTCTATAATTTGACAATGTTATTTGGTCATATCATTGAATGTGTTATTCCATTGAAAGTCCTTCTAGATTGAAAAATGTGTGTAAAAGCTTGGGAGTATATCATCTGTAACTAATATAGATAATATTTTCAGGTTTGAATATATATAATTGACTTCACTTTATATATATAATTGGCTAGGTGTAATCTCTCTGTTTTGACAGATTTCTTAAATTATGTTAGCGTAATCAAATAAAATTTACCTTGAAGCCCTTTCTAAAATGATATTTTCAGACTTATTTGAAAGCAGTAGAACTTTTTCTATGAACTAAATCACATGCAAAACTCCAACTTGTAATATGCATAAAATGGACTTACTTATTCTCCATACCTTCTCTAGTGCCTGGGAACACTCTTCTCTGAGCCCTAGGATTGATTCTATTGCACAGAGCGACTTTAATCTAAATCATTTAGTTCCCGCCTTTTCCTCTAAAAACAACCATTCAATGAAAAAAAAAATGTGAGGGCCTAAATTATTTCAGTGGTTTTTTGAAATATTCAGTTCA